AGTTTATATTTTCAAATCCGGCAACCTCTCAGTAATAATACAAAATCTGCTCACTGCATATAGGTTTTGAGAGGTCCGCAGTATATTTTACAGAATTACATAATGCATCATGCAACATAATGCTGCATTATGTGATGCAAAGCTAAAAAGAACTTGCATTCGCACATCTCTAATGATAACCGAATTAGTCCTATTACTACTCGTAACTATGTAAACAAATTTGTCTACAAGACGGTGTGAAGAATAGTTTATTATACTGAGTTTACTATAAAGAGGTTCATACTGTACAGATAATGATTCTCAACTAAGTTATCTTAAATAAAAAAAGATTTGTTATTGTATACGAAAAAAAAAACCAAAAAAAATTCAAAATAAGTCTGAGAACATTTAAAATTTATCATTCATCTAGCTTTGAATTACCCGCCATCCTCCGAATTATTTTGAGGATATATTAAACAGAATGACGTCTTTCTAGAAATATTTATAATATGAACTGTCATGATAATTATTATGATAATACTGTACATGAGACACATTTTTTCTCCAAAAAATTATTATTTTATTTAGTTTATTTGTGCCGAAGAAAATTTAATTCAAAATAACTATAATAATGAAGTTACATAATATGTTTACAAAATCAAAAATTTAAAAGTATAGATTAACATACAACTCAAAATATTACTTTTCAATCAAGTAAAATTCTACATCTAATTTAATTTCAATTGATTTCAGTCCAGATAAATCTATTTCGGATGGATCCAAAATAGATTCGCCAATTTTACAATTATCAAGTCTAATTGTCCATTGGCTAAATGGCGTTGGAACAAAATAGACATCTGATTTAAATGACACATCTGTTAAGATTTTATCTGGTACTTGATACCTAAACTCTTGAACGATTCTTTTTCCTGATCTAAAATAATAAGTTTTCCCTTTATATCTATCATTAAACATATTGGTATTACTAATAATAGTAAGAGAGATCTCATCATCTTTGGACCCAACACCATCCAAAAATACACCAAAGTTAATGATTCGAACACGCTCATACCGCAGAAATTTTGGATGATTCAATGGAATCTCGTAAGTAATAAATCTGTCACTCTTAAATTTTTTGATATAATTTTCTCCATCAATACGAATTGAATGTGAATGACCCTCTGAAGTTTGGGGTGGACCCCCAAATTTATAGTATGAGTTTTCTAATTCTTGATAAATTTTATGATAATCTTCCATATGCTTTGCAGTAGTTTTCATAACAGAAAGTTTAACTTCAGATTTAGAAAGAGACCAATATTTGTATGCATATTCATAAATTTCTAAATATTTTAGCATACAACTCTTTATATTAATAAAGCATTCAATTAGTGAAAATGCGCAGTCATTATAATAATCTTCTTCTGATTTATAATCTTCAATCCTTTCTTTAAGTCTCTCTTCTTTTCTTTCAAATACTTGTATTTGCAGTTTTATTCGTGAATATTCTTTGAAACTCTTTGCTTCCTCATTATTTGCTTCAATGTATGCATTAATATAGTTAAATAAATCTTTTAATGAATTTTTATATTCAGGTACACCTTCAATTTCTTTTTCAAAAGGCTAAATATATATAAATAATTTTTAAACCTTTATTTGTTAAAATATTACACATATTTAATTAAATGCATACTTACTTCAAGTAATTGCAACATAAAATTCTCAATTGATTTCCATTCGGCCTTCATTTTTATTCCTTTGCGATCTTCTGTTTTAAGGCTATAAAATTTATCTAAATTTATTACAAGTTTTTTTAAAGTAATCTTTAAATAATCTTTAATTAAAGATTACTTACATTTGTGCAAGTTCATTAACATCCAAAGATTCAACTCTTTTTTGCTTTGTTATCACTTCATTCAGATCTTTTGCGTCGGCGTAATTTTTTTCTAAATCTTCACCAATTTCTTTAATCCTTTGAATTTTATCACCTATGTCATTATTTTCTTCAATGAATGCTTTTACTTTATCACCAGCATCCAGAGCATCTTGAACCGAAATAGATGTCTCTTTTATGGTTTCAATAATGCTGACTATGCCATCAGGTCTGATAACAATTGTACCAATACGTACAGCCAAGTCAAAAACTGCGATTACCATATGTAGTTGTGCCTCATGGATTTTTTGATTCTTCCATTTTTCAAGTTCTTCTTTAAAATGTTTACATGCGCTGTCTACGTTATTTTTTTTGACCTATTGTTAAAAAACATGTACTGTATATTTTATTTATTCTTTTTTAAAAATCGAATTTTATCAGGACATGAATCATAGTTGGTCATGTTCGGATTTTCATAAAATGCATGTGTTCAACATACCTCTAGCTCTTCTTCTATTTTTTTCACCAATTTAGAAGCTGAATCATAACGTTCATATTCAATATTTTTTAAATGATTATACAAAGAAGTATTATCATTAGAATTTTCTAACAATACTTTAGATTCTATTTTCTTTCGATCGATATCTTCACTTTTATTTAAAAATTGCACGTATTTATCTTCATAATATTTTATTGATTCCATAAATTCTTTGATCCCATCTTTGTAGAATTGTTTATTCAATAATGGAACAAATGAAATTTCATTGTTTTCTCTTTCTTTAAAAATATCTAATTGTACGAGCATCGAAAGCGCTTGATAGTATAATTCTTTTAATTTAGATAGTTCTTTTGTTTCAAGTTGTTTTGTATCGAAGTATGATTCATTTATTTTACATATCCAAGAAAGGATTGAACGTGTAATTTCAGGTTTATCATAAAATAAGACACTTGCAATGAGTACAGAGTATCGTAATATTTTAAGGAAAGAATGATTTTTAAGGATAGTATTATCAAAGATATATATATCCTTATATTCAGGGTTCTTGCCATCACGTATAGTTAGTAATTTGCCAACGCATTTATCATTTTTTGCTTTGTTAATAATAAATTTTGATGAATCATCAACTTTTAGATGATTTTTTGCAATAATTTCAAGTTCAGAAGTTATTTCTTCAGTGTATATTACTATTCGGAAGGATTTCTTGTAATTAACGGTTATTTGACATCCTGGTTCGATTTCAACTCGCCTTGCTGCTATCAAAATGACATAACTGCCATCCAAAAGTGGAATTTCTAAAGTATTTGATAGCTGAATCACGTCACCATAGATCCTGAAAATTCGAGCTTTAGGTTTGATGTTTGAATTTAAAAAAATTTCGTTAAGGTTGACAATCAAATTACACTTAAAGACCTTTAAATCGAGTAGAAATTTTAAGATTAATTTTTGAAAATTAAAACAGAAATATTTCAGCAATATACAAAATGAAACTTATTATAAACGCATGAAATCAAATAAGTTTTTTGTATTGCTTATTTCAATTTTAAATAGATTTAATTATAAACCCTTAAACAAGCATATCAACAATGAATACCTCTTCATCTGTCAATTGTAATTCTGGTTTCAATGGTGGCACTTTAAAAAGGTCTAACAATTCATTATATTTTTCATTCCAGTTCGAAATTTTATTAGACTCAGTCATGATCGTATAAATTATGAAGATTATTCTTTTGATTTTTTTTTTATACCAGATATGTACGTACGTACGTACATACATAAGGCGCAAAAGACCTAAAAAAAACCATTATTACACCTTATATAGACAAAATATAAATAGTACGTAAAATGTGTAAATACCATATTTCTTAAATTTATTAAAGTCTATAATTTAATTTAATGCTTAATTTAATGTGTAACTTGATTATAGGTTACAAATTACGCCAACAGCTAATTAATGTTTATAAGATATTAGTCGTCCAATGAAAAATAGAACCTTTTTTTGTCATTCTGAGTGACATGAGTTCCAAATACCTGTTATTTGGTATGACCAATATTGATTTTATTGTTTATACTGTATACTATATAGTCGTCCTCCTTTACAGTTACCATATAGTCATACCCTCTTTATAAGTACTATTTTTTGAAAAATTAATGATAATTATTTATAAAAAAAAAAAAACTTTATAATCACATTACTATTAAAATTTTACAATCATATGTAAAACAAACCGCGTGATTATGAGGTGATGTCATTTTATGACAAAAATATTAAGGCCAAAATTTTACATGATCATAACTAATTACAAGAACAATTTTTCTTAAATTATCGACTTCAAAAGAAGAAACTATTGTTTTTTTTTTTTTTTTGATTTAGATTTTAATGTTTAACGATAGAAATAAGTTTATTTCCTAAATTGGAATATCATATTTTGTACACGAATTATTTATAAAGAGTGCACAGTAATACTACAGCTACATAGCATATAGGGGCCATATGAGTGCGGTCAAAAGAAAACCTACAATCTGGGTTTCAAGTATATTTTATGTTCAGTTGGTTATCTGTGTGCCGTCTATGACAAATTTATGTCCGATGATAAATTTACCATAGACGCACACAGATAACCCACTTTACACAAAATATACTTGAAAGCCCGATTGTAGGTTTCCTTTGACGGCACTCATATTGCACCACATGAAGAATTCAACTGTTTATACTGCGAAAATCTACCAAAACATTCATTCGTTACTATTTTAATATAATGAGCGATGATCTATCATAATCTTTAATGCCACTGGGTTTTACCACATGCTATACGCAGTTAGTAATATCACTAAACATAGGTATTACAATTTCTCTAAATACTTTACCTTGTCAGAACAATTTCATCAATAATTACCGTAAAAATTCACTTCCTGATCCCTTATGGGATACGAGTTTCATAAACCTGATTGGATATCTAAGCATGAAATACGTATATTTTGTATAAGTAATTACTCATTACCATCAGCAAATCAATAAAGGGATCTTGTTTAGTGACTTAAGACACCGGATATATGTGTCATACAAGATAGATATAACAAAGCCTATGGTATACCCTTCATAAATGAATTTAATTTCTAAAATGAATTAGAGGTATACAAGACAGATTTTTACGCTAATTTCACTATGAAAACACGAAATAAGAGAGGCATTTTGGACACCATCTACTGTATAAATCAGTACATTCACAATAAAGCTTAAATTTTCTTTATTAAAATAAAAAAAAAAAATTTAAGATGCGCGTGACTAATGATTAAGACAATCATTTCTTTTAAAACTTGCGAAACCAAAATTTTGCATAATCTTGCAAGACAATTTAAATTCGCACACTAGAGATTGTACACTGGTAAGACATTTTTATTATATAGCTATAATAAATTACCCGGATAATCTGATAATTTTATAATACACGGGTAGAGATTTTCGTAACGGGTACAATCTCTAGATGACATAATTGTTTTTAGTGTAAATGTAGTTTAATTCA